ATATATTAAATGCAATGTCAATTTTGAAAAGGGGCAGGGGAATGTATAACCAGAATCTACAAATTCCTTTAACAAAAAATCCTTTTCACACAACTTTTTCCCTTTAAAGAGATTCAAATAAAATTAATGTTTCTTTTTGACCCAATAAATGTTTTCCAAATGGCAAGTATGTAGGTATTATATCCCACAGAGTTCATGAACTAAAGAGATGAATTTAAATGTAATGCTTAGAACAGCTCCATGTACAAATGGGTACATATATACCCATATGTGTCACAGGTGGGCGGAAAGTTTCTGGGGGTGAATGCAAGGTGGTTTCTTTCTGATCGAATGTAGAGATATAGCTTTACAAATACATATAACATTTTCCACCCCCCCTTTTATTTTTGGCACTCATTTTCCCTCTTATTTTTATCCTGAAAATGTATTCAAAGAACATCAACTGTTAAAATAAAACACTGGGATTCATGTTTACATAGAGTTTAAATTTTTTAATTGAATGTCTTAATTATACAACTTCTAAATCATTCTTGTTGAACTATGTTGATGTTTCACAATCTTTTAGAAAAATAAATATCCCTTTGTGTTAAGAATAACAAAAAGTTTTATACTCTTCCTACAGCTGGTATTATACTGTAATACTAAATATGCTTTTAAAAGCTATGCAGGTACCTCCATCCACTCTAATACACTCCCATGGAAAAAATTACTAAACATCCAAATAATGCAATGTGGCAGGGTACAGTCTTTGTTTTTGTGTAAACAAAATTTTAATAAAAATTACTATATGACCCATTACTATAATTACATTAGCATAATGACTCATGTACACTATGACAACCTTAACAAAGGTTGATGTCATGAACTGAAAAGTCACTTAATGTTTAAAAGTCTTTAAAGTGGATGTTTCAGCTTTATATCCTAACAAGGAGTTCAGAATATAATGCATTCATATTTTATTAAAGAAAAAAAAGGAGAAAAGGAAAGTAAAAACATTCTCAAAATATGACATCTGGAACCTATCTTCTATGCCTGCCAGGTAAAGTTATAGTGCCAGTGTCACTAAGAATATAAACTAGGGAAAAGGTCAGAGACTTCATACTAGCAAGGTGCCAGCTTTGACTGACCTAAGAGATTTTTCTTTTGCTTCAGAAATTATGGTCTATAGCAGTATAACAAAAGTGATTCTTGTAGTGGAATTTAAAAGAAGAAGATTATAGCATAGAAATGTGGACTCACTACTTCAAAGGAAATAGAGACATACCCTACTGGGGTCTGAAGAGGCACTTAAAAAACATCTGTTGTTGAGAGAACACAAATCTTAGATAATTGTGGCAGCATACTGTCATGGCTAGGTACTAAAATGCTTCCACAGCTTTCTTCCCTTCCCCAATGTAATAGGCAGTTAGACAGACATGAGCAGAGCAAGGACGATGGACCAGGTACAGAAAGTCACCAGAGTGGAAAGAAAGCCTTGGCTGCCTAGCAACAGGCAGAAGTGAGAAAACACGGACCTCGCCCCCAAGCTGATCTTTCCTTCCCTAGCATATCCCTGGTCATGTGGTTTGGACCTTTCATATCGCTGGTCATGCAAATTAGACTTCCTGACGTTTCCTCCTTAAAGATAACATCTAGGCCTCAGTTGTATTTCAGCTCTAGGCCCAGAACAGCAGCAAAACCAGACAAGTGACCCTGTGGCAGCCTCAGGAACAACTGCACTGACTAATGACCCCCTGCCCTGGCAATGACCAATCACTGGAGACCAAGACCCTGAAAGAGCATACCTGGAAAGCTGATGAATATTCTATTGAGAC